AGCTGTAAATATTTTCTCAGACTCTCAAATATAGCCAGGAAGTATGTTCACCCTTTCTTTCCTAAATCAGCTAAAAGAAGCGAATAACACACAACCCATCACCCTGCCACCCAGGTTGTTAGCTATGTATCACATTGAACACTGCTCTTCTTTGATGAACTTTAGAAATACAATCTTCATTTTAGTCAGACTGGGCTAAGAAAAAATTCTTTGTGTATATGGCTACCCACCTATTTTCATTGTTAAGCCAAGGATTTGAGTCTGAGTTCTCCTAAGACCAAACCCAATTACTACAGCACTTTAGCAATGCCTCAATATTTTTTCCTTTTACAGATATAAAATATAAAATAATAATGCAAAGATTCCGAACAGTATCCAAGGTTTTAAAAAATTCAGAGAATAAGGGCATCTTCACACATGACCCAGTTTTTAAAAAGTCTGCATTCTGCAACGTGATTAAAAATTAGCTCAAGGTACATTCAGTTTGAAAATGGCTCTCTTCCATTTTCCATCTCCACAAACACACAAATGAATTATAAGTGCAATCCTGCACATTAAAATGACAAACTGCATCTGCTCAAAGCCATCCCTGAGTAGAAATGTTGTTCTCTAGTCCATCATATTATGGGAAGAGTGGGGTTGGGGTAGACTAGGGCTCTTTGAATCCCTACTCAGCCGTGGAAACCCAGTCTGTGGTCTTAGGGAAGTCACACTCTTTCAGCTTCCAAGAAAGGCAATGGCAACCTCATTAAGAAAACCCTCTGATAGGCTTATCTTAAGGATTGTCTTAAGTTAGGAATGACTTGTAGACACAAAAGAAGAAAGGGAATAGAGTATGTGGAATGAATCTGTGCTCCAAATTCCCCAGATCTGGGGCTGTTTTAGATGATCCTCTAAAATAAAACAATTTGCACAATGGGTTAAACTGCCAGCTACAGAAAACTTTGCCAACTGGAAGATTGGCAGTTCAAAGCTGCGGGTCAGGGTGAGCTCCCGCTGTCACCCGTAGCTTCTGATTACCTTGTTGTTGTTCATTCGTTCAGTCATCTCCGACTCTTCATGACCTCATGGATCAGCCCACGCCAGAGCTCCCTGTCGGCCGTCACCACCCCCAGCTCCTTCAAGGTCAGTCCAGTCACTTCAAGGATGCCATCCATCCATCTTGCCCTTGGTCGGCCCCTCTTCCTTTTACCTTCCACTTTCCCCAGCATAATTGTCTTCCCTAGGCTTTGCTGTCTCCTCATGATGTGGCCAAAGTACTTCAACTTTGTCTCTAGTATCCTTCCCTCCAATGAGCAGTCGGGCTTTATTTCCTGGAGGATGGACTGGTTGGATCTTCTCGCAGTCCAAGGCACTCTCAGAACTTTCCTCCAACACCACAGCTCAAAAGCATCGATCTTCCTTCGCTCAGCCTTCCCTAAGGTCCAGCTCTCACATCCGTAGGTTACTACAGGGAATGCCATGGCTTTGACTATGCGGATCTTTGTTGCCAGTGTGATGTCTCTACTCTTTACTATTTTATCGAGACTGGACATTGCTCTCCTCCCAAGAAGTAAGCATCTTCTGATTTCCTGGGCACAGTCTGCATCTGCAGTAATCTTTGCACCTAGAAATACAAAGTCTGTCACGGCCTCCACATTTTCTCCCTCTATTTTCCAGTTGTCAATCATTCTTGTTGCCATAATCTTGGTTTTTTTGACGTTTAGCTGCAACCCAGCTTTTGGGTTCTGATTTTGGGTTTTCTGATTACCTACCAATTCAAAAATTGCAATGTGAGTAGATTGTCCCTAGAATCTAAACCTCTGGGATGTCAGAAAAGAGGAAGTATAAGCAACATGTGTGCAAATGCAGAAGCAAAATTTCATATTGCACACATTTCTTATCATTTACTTTTATTAATAGAGTATGAAAACTGGAGAGGGTTTCTCTACTTTTAATAGCTGTGTAAAAGAGATTTGAGCATGACAAGCAACACCTGTTGAAATTTTCTGTTCTAGACAGCCATTAGAGGCACAGTTTTCACCCTGACAGCCCTACAAAATTGCCAGATATACATCTTATGACCAGTTCATAATCTCCTTTAAGACAATTGCTATTTTTCCCCTTCTTCTTCTATTGTTACCTTTTACCAACAGAATCTTGCAGCCTTCAGCAAATGTGTCGGCATGGAAGTGAGATTGTCTCAGGTTGTTATCCACGGTGTTAGAACTAGACAAATTATTTTCATCTGTAGACTCTTGGAGGATGGGAATGAGTGAATTCCCACACAGTGTATGCCATTGCACTGAGATGTGGCTCCACACAGCATTTCTAAACAGTGTTTTGTGCCTTGTGGTTCTTGTGTGGGAGAAAAGATCTGGTTTCCAGGGGGACCATTCCCAAAGGGGTTAACCACACTGCAAAAACAACTGTGAGTCCAAACAAAAACATGCACTTGTTTAGTCTTTAAGGTGTGACGGTCTCTGTGGTTTCCAGATAGATATCAAAAACAGAAGAAGCGGGGAGGGAAGAGGAAAGGAAGATGAAAACAGGAGGAGAAAGAATATGTAGAAGAGAAAGAAGAAAAAGATGAAGAGCAAAAAGGTGAAAAAGAGGAGGAGGAAGGAGAAGAGAAGGAGGAGGAGGGATACATAGAGGAGGAGAAAGAGGAGAGTGAAGAAGAGGAGGAAGAGAAAGAGGATTGGAGGGATTTGAGTTTTAAAGAGCATTTTAATGTATTTGATGTATTTTAATTCTGTTTTTACAACACTGTTATTGTTTATTAGCTTTTGTATTGCTCTTTTAGGGCAATTTTAGGGCCCCCTTGGTGGCACAGTGGTTAGACCACTGAGCTGCTGAACTTGTTGACCAAAATGTTGGTGGTTTGAATCCCAGGAGCGAGGTGAGCTCTTGCTGTTAGCCCCAGCTTCTGCCAACATAGCAGTTTGAAAACATGCAAATGTGAGTAGATAAATTGGTACTGCTTCTGCTGGAAGGTAACAACACTCCATGCAGTTATGCTGGCCACATGACCTTGGAGGTGTCTATAGACAACGCAGGCTCTTCAGCTTAGAAATGGAGATGAGCACCAACCGCCAGAGTCAGACACAAGTAGACTTAATGTCAGGAAAAACCTTTACCATTACCTATTGCTCTTTTTAAACTATTTAGTGTGGATAGATGTTCGCCACCTTGAATGTCCATGGGGAGAAAGGCAGGAAGAGGAGGAATGTGTAGAAAATGAGGAAAAGAAGTGTAGTGAAGGTACTGCTTCTGCTAGAAGAAGAGGAGGAGGAAGATGAAGAGGAGGAAGAAGAGGGAAGCAAAGAAGGGAAGAGGATGAAAGTGAAAAGAGGAGGAGTAAAGAAGAAGAATAAGAAAGAGAAGGAGGAAGGGGAGAATGAAGAACAGGAGAAGAAAGGTGAAGAAGAGGAGGAGGAGGGAGGAAAAATGAGGGCCTTTCCACATTATCTGAGTGTGGACCCAGTTCAAAGCAGATATTGTGGGATTTTCTGCTTTGATATTCTGGGATATAGAGCTGTGTGGAAGGTCCCTGGGAGGAAGGAGGAGGGAGAAGAAGAGGAGGTGAAAGGTAAAGAAGAGAAGGAGTAGAAAAGAAGAGAAGGAGTAGAAAAAAGGTGGTGGTAGAGGAGGAGTTAAAACCACACTCTCAAAACTTAACAACTTTTTGAAAAACCAGCCTACTTGAGGGACTGCATCTCCTCCTATCAGCCCGCACAAGCCCTGAGATCATCAAGAGTGGCCCTTCTCTTGGTCCCACCACCATCACAAGTATGGTTGTTGAGAACGAGAGGGGGGGACTTCTCAGTGGTGGTCCCGTGGCTCTGGAACTTCTTCCCCAAAGAAGTGTGTTTGACCCCCCCCCCCCCCCCCCTTGTTATTGGCCTTCCGCTTCCAGGTTAAGACCTTTTTATGGAACCAGGGCTTCCCCGACAATCCACAATAAGCAGTCTGTTTCAATCAGGCAAGGCTTGTATGGGCAGAGATTTGGAGCTTGAGACTTTGATGTGTTTGGATAACCTCAGCAGCCTGAGGCACAGGGATTTTAATGAATGCTGTTATTTTTAAGCCTGTTTATATGATTTACGTAATATGGTTATGCAGTGTGTTGGGGTTTTTTTCATTTATATGTTTGGGTAGAGGGGATGTTGTGTTCTTGTATCATGCAGTTGTGTTTTTTTACCATTTGTTTGCCGCTTTGAGTCCCACCTGTGGGAGAAAAGTGGGAAAAACAAATAAATTATTATTATTATTATTATTATTATTATTATTATTATTATTATTTAGTTTGGAGATGTCCAAGAAATGTCCCACGCCAGAATGGTTTATGGAGCCCCCAGTGGCACAGTGGGTTAAATTGCTGAGCTGCTGAACTTGCTGATTGAAAGGTCACAGGTTCGAATCTGGGGAGCGGCCTGAGCCGCTCTCAAGGTAAGTTTCCGCCAACTTAACCGTTTGAAAACATACAAATGTGAGTAGATGAATAGGTACCGCTCTGGCAGGAAGGTAACGGTGCTCCATGCAGTCATGCTGGCCACATGAAATTGGAAGTGTCTACAGACAACGCCAGCTCTTTGGCTTAGAAATGGAGATGAGCACCAACCCCCAGAGTCAGAAACGACTGGACTTAATGTCAGGGGAAAACCTTTACCTAGAGTGGTTTATGTCTAAGTCTTCAAAGCAGTAATTGCACCACAGCTCACAGAATCCTTCAGTCCCCATGGCCTTGTCGCCTGGGGATTGTGAGAGTTGGGATTCCTTATAAGTCCCCTTTCCAAGTTCTGGTTTAAGGTATCACGAGGTCCTGTTGTTTTGTACAGGGATGGTCACTGAGGCATGGCACCTACCCACCTGTCAGACTTTCATGCCCTGCCTGGCCTTGGCAACAGGCCGGGCCTCCCCTTCCCTTGCATTGCATTCCTCTGCCATCGCCTAGCAACGCCAGGCCACAGCACAAAGAGGGAAGGCTGGCCCAGAGCTGGACAGCAGTAGTTGCCAGGTGTCCGGCTGCAGCCCAGCTTCAGGTAGTGCCCATCCTCTACCTGCCTGCCAAGGAGTGCTAGCCCCAGATCAGTGCCTGGGATGTCCCAGAAGAACAAGTTCAACTTTGTGGCTGAAGATCAGATCTGGTAAATGTCTTATTCCCTCCCTTCTTCTCTCTTTCCATTTTCTAATCAGATGGACCAAGCTGGAAAGCGGCTGAGGGGGGAAAGAAAAGGGCCTGAGGCTATTAGGAATTGTGGGAGTTGAAGTCCAAAACACCTGGAGGGCCCAAGTTTGCCCATGCCTGCTTTAGGACTTAGGTCAGAACCATATGGTCCTCCCAACGGTCCCAGCCAGGAAAGTTGAAGAATTGCAGCCAATTGTCAGGCATTTTGGGAGCTTAAGTCCCGAACACTGGGAGGACCAAAGGTTGGGGAACACTGCATTAAATGGATGCTGGATCAGAGCAACAGAAATCAGTTCATATATTTAACTAATATATATTCCCTCCTGCTAATAGGGAACTTAGAGCAGGTCACTGGATAAGTGAAAACAAAATATAGCAAAAACAATCATGCAAATGTTCATAATAAAGTCCAAATTGAACGTAAAAGCAATTAAAGCACATTTAAAATGCAGTAAAAAAAGAAAAAAATGGGCTTTCACAGCATGAAAGATACATCTTATTCTAATTTATTTTTCTCATAGGAGAAGCCATCTTTTTGTACTGAACAAATAATAATAATAATAATAATAATAATAATAATAATAATAACAACAACAACAACAACAACAACAACAACAACAACAACACACTGGGAGCACTGCCTAAAGACCTTGGCCTGCACTTAAAAACAATGGGCACTGACAAAATTCCCATCTGTCAGCTGCAAAAGGCCACCCGACTTGGATCTGCACACATAATTCATCAATACATCACACAGTCCTAGACACTTGGGAAGCAGGCATGTAGCCGGGGGGGGGGGGGGTTGAGGGGCTTCAGCCCCCCCCCCCCGAAATTCTCATGGTGGTTCGCGAAAAGGCCTTACTGGTGCATTATTTAAACTGTTATGTTTATTCATATCATGATCTGATCACCCTACTCAATATATTCCATATGCATGGGGGTATTGGGGCAATGATACAAAAGGTTTGCTAGGGTAGACCCTCTTTCACTCAGACTCGCCCCCCCCCAAACTCAGCCCCCCCCCCCCGAGACCCGCCCTGAAAATTTTTTCCCCCCCCCCCCCCCCCCCCCCGAGCCGAAATCATGGCTACGGGCCTGTTGGGAAGTGTCAGATGTGTGATCCAATACAAAAGCCAGCATAGTGATTGGATTGTTGTGTACTAATATTGTTGTGTATCAAACTGCTGATCTGCTTAACCTGCTCACCAAAAGGTCAGGAGTTCGAATCCGGGGAGCAGGGTGAGCTTCCACTGTTAGCCCCATCTTCTGCCAACCTAGAAGTTCAAAAACGTGCAAATGTGAGTCGATCAATAGGTAAGAATTCAGGGGGAAGGTAATGGCACTCCATGCAGTCATGCCAGCCAAATTACCTTGGAGGCATCTATGGACAACGCTGGCTCTTTAGTTTATTTATTTATTATTTATTTACAGCTTTTATATTCCGCCCTTCTCACCCCGCAGGGGACTCAGGGCGGATTACAGTGTACATATATATGGCAAACATTCAATGCCAATTTGTGACATACCAACATATACAGACATACACAGAGGCTATTTAACTTTTTCTGGCCGCCAGGGGAGCTGTTGCTTTCATAGTCCATCTGTTTATAGAGTTTATAGTTTGTTACCTCAGAGTTTATATTTCACTGTTCTAACTCTATCAAATTTGTTACCTCAGATTTACACCTTTGTACCTTGTTTTAATTCATCTTGATTGTTTAGTAAACTCTATTGTTTGAATTTAGTCTTGTTTCTAGTGTTTCATTTTGAGGTATTAAAGTAATTTAGGGCATACCGATGGTCGCTGGGAAAATAGCCAGACACTTTTAGTTTTCTCATAACATCTTCCTGGTGTGCCATCATAAGCACCACCCCCCATAGCTGGACATGACAAGACTTAATGTCAAGGGAAAACCTTTACCTTTAATAATAATAATAATAATAATAATAATAATAATAATAATAATAATTTTCTTTCTTGACCGCCTTTCCTCATGGCTTGGAATTGTGTTATAGAATCATTAACATACATAAACATTGCAAAAATACAACAAAGACACATATTAAAATGTATTTCTATAAAAGCTACATATTAAAATATATTTCTATAAAATACATATTAAAATACCCAAAGCAGAGATTTAAAAAAAGGTAAAACCAAGTAAGGGATTGTTATTCCCCTTGCCTCTGACCCCATCTCCAAAATGAGAGTGTTTCTGTGACAGTTTCATTCCAAGCAAGGGCAATTTTGCAGCTGCTCAGATGTAGCTGGATTGCAGTTCCCTTCATCCTCCACTTTTGGCAGATAGATCTGATGGGAGCTGCAGTCTATCTGGAGTCTATCTGCCCATTCTTGATTTTTATGACAGCCAGTAACCATTAAGAAATCATCTTCCATTTATCCAGTGTCATTTGCACTCCTCCAAGTGTGAAAGGCAGGTTTTTTTAATCTCTCCTAAAGTAGACCAAGAAATAGGGAAGCAAGGTGTTACATTCCATTGATAATCAGAATTATTTCATGACAATACAGTCAAAACTGCTGCCTAAGCTACTTCAGCGGCACACTCCATAGCTCAGTGAAATCAAAGTACATTAACGTCACCAGTTTCATTCCAAGTAATTCATCCTAACTGGATTGTGGGTCAGGCTGCTAACAACTTAAGAAGGCAAGGTTACAATTCACAAATCGCTACCTATTCCAAAACATTGGCTTAATGTAATTACTTTAGAGTAAATAAGTGGAAGACTGCTCTGGGGTTGGAAAGGTTTTGTTTCTTAGTCCTTGAAAAGGACTCCCTCTGTGGAATAAAGCAGCATGTTCATTATTCTTTCTGCTAGAAAAATGCATCATTCTGATGGATGGAGATGAGCATGCACGTACCAGAGATAGGGGTTGTTGTTTGTTGTTGTTTTGCTTTGTTTGCAAGGACCTAACATGCAGCATGTCTTGATATGTAAAACATACACACACATATACATATACCTTGCACTTTCTTGGGCACAGCATGGCAGATATGGAAGACATTTTTTTCTTGGCCCAGCATCATATTCCAAAAGTGCAATATTAGAAAGCCTTTGGCATTTGCTGGGTTTTGGTCTATCACCTCCACCCCCTATGGATACCAAACATGGGAATGCTCATCCCATTATAAACAACAACTTAGTAAAATGGTGTCAAAGTTTTGTATTTTGATTTAAAAAAATATTTACAGAATCCATGAATATGCAGGGCAACTGTATTTTATTTTTCTTCATGGGAATGTCTAGAGAGACTGTACAGGACAGCAAAGGAGAGCCAGTGGCAGTATTGGATGGAGGGTGAATATGATTTGATCTCAGTAGGTCACCTTTTGATCTTCTCATTAAGGAAGAAGATCAAGTTATGAATAATTTCAAACAAACAAACAATTCCTGTTCCTAGGCCCCAATCCCTGATAATTCAGTCTTCTTTTGTTTGCATCATCCCACACCTCGGACTCTCCTGATCTACATGGTCCCATTCTGGGCTCACCCTTTTATCATGCTGTAGTATGATGGAAACTGGAAATGGCTTTTCAGAAAGACAGATTAGACAGATTTTTTTTAAAAAAAAATAGCTTCAAGGTAGCTTGGAATCATCAGATAAGAAAACTTCTAGACTAGTGGTTCCCAACCTGTGGGCCACTGTGATGGCAAACCTGTGGGCCTTTGGGAAAACTATATTTCCCAGCTTTACTCGGGGGCTATCTGATACCTTCTGTTAAGATTAAGACCCTTAGCAGACAGAGGCACTTTAGGCAAGGTGAAAAGATAACCAAATGAGTTTACTGGAACAAGATGAATAAAGGGTTAACTCAGGACTATCATAAGGTAACTTAAAACAATACATTGCAAAAGGAGATTTTTCTGGTTGCAGTCATCTTTCTGGAATTTTCTGCCTCTTGTGCAAAGCAGTGGATTACAAGATGTTGTTTATAAACTGTCTCAATCTTCTCTCCTGTAAAGCTTAGGCTGGCTAAAAGCTTCTGTTGTCCTTTGGACTGCTGGTATACAAATACTGCTGAATGCAATAGGTGCTAGGTATGCCTGTTTGGATTGCTTCAGCCTGGGATTTCTAGATAATGCCCCAAGCCTCTAGTGACTGTAGAAAAAGGAGGAGGCCAGCTAAAGCTTTAAACAGGGAAATGGAATAGACCAACTAAGACTGGTCTGTGGGGGTATGTTAAGCTCTACCCAAAAAAAAACTAATACAATGGAAGTTATCTACATTATTGGGAAGGCCTATAAACAGGGGAAACTAAAGCAGAGGAGAAGAGAAGGCAGTGCTTCACAGCCACGACCCATTGGTGGGCCACAGGATCTAAAATAAGGTCCACAGTTCTAGATTTTTAAATATGGTTTTCTGTGGGTGAGCAGATGGTGACTACTAGATGGTATATGTTTCTGTATCAGAAACTAGAGCTGATGTGGTCTATACAATGCAATTTTATGAATCAGCACCCCAAATAACTAAACCAAATCTAAAGTTGACCAAAACTGATTCGTAGCCCTTTTAGTAGTAATATTGAAGAGTGGTTCCTAGTCAAAGTATCCCTGGTCAAGTGGTCCCTGGTGTTTTATAAGGATAAAAAGTTTTACAAGGATGAAGCTAGAACCTACAAATGACGAGTTAGGACAAGTTCATTTTGCCCATTTGCACTTGGAGTAGTTCTCAAGCAAAAGGTCTTTTTTTCCAGAACTTGCTATCTGGTTCTTTTATAACCTGAGGATCTGCAAATTGAATCTAGGATAAACTTTATGCAAGTTTCTCCTTCACTGTTAAGATGTAATGGCTTAATCCTGTGTTAATTTTCTTCTTGCATGACAGTTTTTTTTTCTTCTTGGAAGTCTTCTATATAAAGATCTGCAAATTTTCCATTTTTACAGTCTTAAATGCACACATTTACAATTTCCAGAATTGCTATGTTAGGTTGTTCCAGAGAAAAGAACAAGACATGTTGAGGCACCTCAAAAGTTTAACACGTTTATTATGGCATCCGTTTAGTTGACTAAAGTCCACTTAATCAGATACACAACATTTTAACTAAAACTCATACACATTTTTACGCATGGAGAGCACTAAAGTGATAAAGAAGGGGGTCAGAAGAAAATTAAAAGCATTAAGTCTGTTTCATTTCAAAATATGTTCAGAGTTGGCATTCAAGAAATTAAAAAAGGTCTTGAAACCCAGCACAATAGTGAAAGAGTAAGAGAGTTGGTGTGGGGTTGTTATGTGCGTGATATAACAAAATTATTTCTTCTTCTTACAAGGATAGGATCCAAACCTATCCTTGAATGGACTTGCTTTAGTGCAGCAATCACCAGCAATGATAAGATCTACCAACCAAAAGGTTACAAATTCGAAGCCCCAGGTCGGTGTGAGCACCCGACTGTCAGCCCTGCTCACTGTTTACCTAAGCAGTTCAAAAACAGCCTACAGCTGTGATTAGAGAAATTAGGTACCGCTAATGCAGGAGAGGTTTTTTACGACACCGTAAGAAAAGGGTCAAAGAATGCTGGTGACCAAAAGGAAGGAGGACATCCTGATGGCTCTTCGACATAGAGGATGGAGTGACAGTGCCTCTCTGTGGCTGGCAACTTCCAAAGGCGTTGACAACCTGGATGTTGAACTGGATGTCAACACAACACAATATACCTCCTTTCTGTTTGTCTTTGTCCTGTCTAAAAAACGGCATTGAATGTTTGCCGTTTGTGTACTGTGATCCGCCCTGAGTCCCCTTCAGGGTGAAAGGGCAGAATATAAATAATGTATTATTATTATTATTATTATTATTATTATTATTATTATTATTATTATTGTTATTATTATTATTATTATTATTATTATTATTATTAGATTCCAATGAAATATTAGGAATTTCTGAATTATAGTAAGGTTTATCAGATTTCCTTAGAAGATGGTGAATTTTCCTTTATTGGAGATGATTCTATAATTCTATATGTACATGTACAGACTGAAACTGTTGTGTGCAACCCTGAACATGTCCAAAAACGTATAACTGAGATCATTAACCAAAAGAGTTGTGGAACTCCTTAAGCAGTCCTAACAACTTTGTCTGCTTGTTTAAAAAACATATTAAATGTTTGTATTTTTCTGTATCTATCAGGAAGGATCACATTGAAATAGAACGTGAAGCTGCAAGGAGATGGCCATCACGGTGGGGTTTTCTGTTAACACCAATTGAAAAGGTAAAATAAGTTCTAATCCCCATTTATATACATTGAGAAAATTGATCTCATATATATGGCCTGAGCTGAATCAGTGGCAGATGTCAAGAACTACGGCAACAAGAAATACAATTATATTATCTCATACAAACATACAATCACACAAACAAACACAAACACCTTTTAACGCTAAACTGTACCTGGAACAATTAATTATCTGGGTTGTTATAGGTTTTTCAGGCTATATGGCCATGTTCTAGAAGCATTCTCTCCTGACATTTCACCTGCATCTATGGCAGGCATCCTCAGAGGTTGTGAGGTCTGTTGGAAACTAGGAAAATTGGGTTTATATATCTGCGGAATGTCCAGGGTGGAAGAAAGAACTCTTGTCTGTTGGAGGTAGGTTTTTTGTTTTTGTTTTTTGTCGTCAGGAGTGACCTGATAAACTGCAAGTTACTTCTGGTGTGAGAGAATTGGCCGTCTGCAAGGACGTTGCCCAGGGGACATCCGGATGATTTGATGTTTTATCATCCTTGTGTGAGGCTTTTCTCATGTCCCCGCATGAGGAGCTGGAGCTGATAGAGGGAGCTCATCCGCCTCTCCCCGGATTCGAACCTGCAACCTGTCGGTCTTCAGTCCTTCTGGCACAAGGGTTTAACCCACTTTACCACCTTTGGAGGTAGGTGTGAATGTTTCAATTGGTCGCCTTGATTAGCATTTGATGGACTGACAGTTTTTAGGTGTTTCTTACTGACTGAGGGGATCCTTTGTTGAGAGGTGATTAGCTGTCCCTGATTTTTTCTTGTCTAGAGCTCCCCTGTGTTTGAGTTGTTCTTTATTTACTGTTATAATTTTAGAGTATTTTAAAACTGGTAGCCAGATTTTGTTCATTTTCGTAGTTTCTTCCTTTCTGGGTTGTTGTAGGTTTTTTCGGGCTGTATGGCCATGGTCTAGAGGCATTCTCTCCTGACGTTTCGCCTGCATCTATGGCAAGCGTCCTCAGAGGTAGTGAGGTCGACCTCACTACTTCTGAGAATGCTTGCCATAGATGCAGGCGAAACGTCAGGAGAGAATGCCTCTAGACCATGGCCATACAGCCCGAAAAAACCTACAACAACCCAGTGATTCTGGCCATGAAAGCTGGAATACATTCTTCCTTTCTGTTGAAATTGTCCACATGCTTGTGGGTTTCAATTACTCCTCTGTGTAGCCTGACATGGTAGTTGTTAGAGTAGTCCAGCATTTCTGTGTTCTCAAATAATATGACCTCACAACCTCTGAGGATGCAGGCGAAACATCAGGAGAGAATGCTTCTAGAACATGGCCATATAGCCCAAAAGACCTACAACAACCCAGTGATTCCAGCCATGAAAGGCTTCGACAATAAATTAATTATCTGTTGATACAATCATTCCTAGTATAAAATGGTGAAAATAACAGGATTAAAAAAAAAACCTTGCATGGTAACGGTTGCAACATTTCAGATTTATGCAGAAAGAAGGACTGCAGAGCAGAAGTTTTCCAACTCAGTCTCCACATTGTCAGATAGAGTTTGGATATGGTTTCTGTCTAAAGTCCTGGAAGTCAGAAATATTTTTGCTTTATTCGTATCAATACTTTTGCTCCATTAGTATTTGTTTAAAGCACGTTTCCACTTCATATTAGACAAGTTGTAAGACAGCTGCATTTTAGGTACTTAATTTCAAATGCATTTTGGAAAATAAAGACATTATTGGCTTCAAAGGTATGCTCACTGAATCTGGGAGTAGGTCCCACTGAAATCAGGGATAAATAGGTATGTATAATGTGCCAAAGTTGTGACTGCCTATCTATCCTTCAGAGTCAGCTTTTAGCTTTAAAATGAGAATTAATTATCTATATGAAAGGTGAATTTCGAAAGCATCCACAGCAATACAATAAATAGCTTTGTATCAGATGTCAAGTACAAGGTTGTCAAGTACTGCCATGATGGGAACAGTATGGTATCTCGAAAGATATGCGCTATTACAGTGTTATCACAATGCATGGTTCAGCCTGAAGTGCCAATTTATTTTATTATGTTCTCCTATTTTTAGTTGCTAAAAGATGAAGAGAAACAACCACCTAAGCCTAAGATTCCACTTCCAGAACACTTACAAATCCGACCTGTGACACCAGTGGAAAAGTACATTAAGGTCAGACAGTGGCATTGTAGTTTCAAGTGACAGGACAATTTTTAAACATATCCAAATCTATCCACCTAAAGATTTTTCATGAGTTGCTTTGTCATGATAGTTCTTTAAATACAGATCAAAATCTTGAGAGCAACATTTAAAGGCTCCTTGAAAAGGAGAAAGCATCCATCAGTGAAAGGTTCATTGCATAACTTTAGGACTTACAATAACATTATCCTGCTCTAGGGTGTAAAAATTATATATCATCGGGTTATCTCATCTCTGCAGGTGCCGGAAAGGAAGTACAGATCAGAATTCCAAATAATGTTTCTGGAGCAGAGAAATGTAGCTTTCCTAAGAGATCTTGAAATATTGATTTTCCCATCTATCCATAGGGATATTATACTAAGCAGCATTAGGCTTCAGGTTCTCAAAGAGCCATACTTACCATTTTCTAGTGAAGACGACACCCTCCTCTATAGTGAAGAAGTTCAAGTAGAATGTCTTCTAAAGGCAGGGAAGAATGTAGGGAAGGTTCCTCAGCCTTATTAACCTTGAGGGTCATGTGTGATGCTGACCTGATACTTCAAGGAGTGCTAGAATTGCCAGGAGCCCGTCCAGACAGTACCTTTATTGCGGTAACATCCACAATAAAGGAGGAGCTGCTCAGCAATGTTCTGGACAATCCCAAATCAATTCGCTGCAAATCAGGAAAACCCTGTTTGTAGCGAATTAATTAGATAGTATGTTTATTCCACACCTTCTTGGAAGGCACAGGATAAACCCACTATTTCTGGTTCTGGACTTCATGATACTGCAGTCCAGACAGTATTCTCACAGTTTACTGGGCTAAATAAGCCCAACAAACTGTGGGAATACCCACCCCCTTCCCCCTTTCAAAGTAATGAAAACTTACCTGACCTTCATTATAGCGTTCGTCCAGCTCTGCAGCTGGGAGGGAGGAAAACCACCCCCCCCCCCCCCCCGGCGCATCATTTCTACGCGCCAGGAGAGCTGGCCGAAGCCTGTAATGGGGGCCGAGTAAGTTTTCATTACTTTTCTAAGGGATCTGGGGGGCTTCAGGAGAGGGGGATAGGGCCTCCAGACGTTCTCTCGGTTTAGTCCCGGGAGAACATCTGGACACCCTCCTCAGAAAGCGCACGCTTTCCGGGGTGGAAAATCTGCATTTTTAAATGTGGTTCTCCTGGGATTAAGGCCTGTCTGGATCCGTCCCAGGTCAGAAGCTCAAAGGCTCTGAGATCCATAACCAAAAGCCATCACCTAGGGATTCCCCATTGTAATGTCACGGGCATGCAGCATCAACTGCACAAACTACTTGCTCAGAGCACATAATTCAACTAATAATAGTCAAATCTAACAAATTAGAAAATATGTTTATGGTTGGAAATTAAGTACTGTGGACCTTTGGTAACCAGGCTCATAGCCAGGATTTTGTTTCGGGGGGGGGGGACTGAGTCTGAGTGAAAGAGGGTCTACCCTAGCAAACCTTTTGTATCATTACCCCAATACCCCCATGCATATGGGATATATTGAGCATGGTGATCAGATCATGATATGAATAAACATAACAGTTTAAATAATGTACCAGTAAGGCCTTCTCGCGGACCACCATCAGAATTTCGGGGGGGGGGCTGAAGCCCCCCCAAGCCCATCCCCCCCCCCCCCGGCTACATGCTTGTTGGTAACCACTTAGATTTGGTTCAAAGACCCCCTATGGACCCCCCTATATAAAATAAAAAAATCAAAGCATGCTTTTGGGAATTGTGAATGTTTGTGAATATTCTCAGGGAGGTATAAATCCATGGATACATCCATAGATACATCCATGGATACAAGGGGCCAACTATATCCCAAATTGCAAACTGAACTGGAAAAAATGACAGTTTTTCCAGTTCTGTCTTTAACATCTTTGCAATCACTGCTTTTAAGAACATGTGGGATTTGTAGCCCCTTATAAAAAGTTATCAAAACTCTGCTTTCGACAGAAAACAGCCTACAATTCATGTTTCAAAGGTGAGGCAATGGAGCAAGTATATAGTGCGTATTTTCAAGGCAAAGATCTCACTTTGACGGTATTCCACTTTTTCTAACACTGCAAGGATATTTTTTTTTGTCGTGTCAGGAGCAACCGCTCCTGTTGTGAGAGAATTGGCCATCTGCAAGGACGTTGCCCAGGGGACGCCTGGATGATTTTTGATGTTTTATCATCCTTGTGGGAGGCTTCTCTCATGTCCCCGCATGAGGAGCTGGAGCTAATAGAGGGAGCTCATCCGCCTCTCCCCGGATTCGAACCTGCGACCTGTTGGTCTTCAGTCCTGCCAGCACAGTGCTTTAACCCACTGCGGCACCGGGGGCTGCAAGGATGGAGAATAGGGTTAAGAATCTGGGATCTGAGAACCCTCATTTTCTGATATCTAGAAACATGAATTCACTCATCTCAGAAATCTTTTCTTATTGAAAAGATTTTTCCACTGGCATCCTGATTTTATAGTTTCTCTTCTGTGTCATGAAGAGGAAAACTCATACATCCATTCCTCTGCATGAGTCAGACAAGGAATTTTAACCCCATTTCCGCTGCCAGCGTATAGTGCTGCTGCATGGAGGCAGAAGAACTCGAACTCAATTGTCTCCATTGTTCATCTCTGTGGGTGGCACTTAACTCCCCGAAGAAGAAGAAAGGGAAAAGACAAGAAAGAAGAGGGAATAATTTCAAAGAAAGTACTCCACCTAGATACTACAAATATTTTCCAGGCTTGGCTGGGGAACAAAGCAAAAGGGCTCTGGCAGCAGAACAGAACAGAAACATTGCTTTCCCAGTGCGTATTTCTCCACTGGATAAGTCCCCAGATGTTAAAGTAATACATAGAGAGCACTTTCAGTGTGTTTTCAGTGATTTAGCCAAAGTAGCCGAGCAGCCAAGGCAAACAAGAGGCAGCATCAAGCTTGGGGTTTCCCTATTGTCCAGCTAGATTAGTTACTAATTAACACATGTCATTTTTAGTAAGTTTGAAAGAGATTAATGATTATTCATGCAAAAGACATCTTGGTCCCTAATCTTTCATGTGTTTGTCCTTGAACATCATTGTCCCTTTCCTATAGAAATAAAACCTGTTTGACAGAAGAGATTTCTAATCAATGTATTGTCGAAGGCTTTCATGGTCAGAATCACTGGGTTTTTGTAAGTTTTTCGGGCTGTATGGCCATGTACTAGAAGCATTCTCTCCTGACATTTCGCCTGCATTTATGGCAGGCATCCTCAGAGGTTGTAAGGTCTGTTGGAAACTAGGCAAGTTGTGTTTATATACGTATGAACTGCAGGGTGGGATTAAGAACTCTTTGTTTGTTGGAGATAGGTGTGCATGTTTCAATTAGCCACCTTGATTAGCATTTAATGGCCTAGCAGTTTCAAGATGTGGCTTCTTTCTTGAAACTCCTAGGCCATTAAATGCTAACCAAGGTGGCCAATTGAAACATTCACCCTTTTACAACAGACAAGAGTTCATTCTCCCACCTTGAGAAACCCTATTTTCCTAGTTTCCAACAGACCTCACAACCTCTGAGGATGCCTTCCATAGAGGTAGGTGAAACATCAGAACATGGCCATGCAGCCCAAAAAACTTACAAAAACCCAACTTCTAATTGATTACTTTCAGTTGTTGGAACTGAACTGACTGCATAGTAATCTTCTTAGTTCAGCATAAGTGAAGTATAAGCAACACTGTAGAGTGTAGAGGCTATTTTCCACCATGTTTGGAGTCCCCTTGGAACCTCCTGGATCCTCCAGAGATTAAAACGAATGTTTGCCATCAAATGTTCTCTAGAGCTCAGGAAGTCCCAGAAGCATGTCCCATTTTTATTTTTATTTTTCCAGAGCGGTTCATGGGAGTATGGCCTTTCATACTTCCATGTGTGACCCTGGACCCATCTATATTACAATATAATACACTACAATGTAATGCACTACAATATATTGCAGTTTGAACACTACAATATAATGCAGTTTGAATATAGGCTCATATAAACTGCATTATATGGCAGTGTAGCTGGATAATGCAGTTTCAAACTGTTCTGTCGTGTGCTGGGCCTGTAAAGAATTTCCTTTAAAATAGGACGTGCAACCTTTGCCCAGTGGGAAGCCAGGGGCCTCCAAAGAGAAGTTCTCAGGAATTTTCCACCACAAATGGTCTTTAGATGGCTTGTGAAGTATAACAAAGTCCTTTATTAATGAGCAATCAAACTGAAACTTCTCTTGTCTTCAATAAAGTTAAACAAATGCTTCCAGGCTTTATGCAACTGGTGGCTTCCTAATCTTGCCCACAAAGGACAGGCAATTGTCTTCAATCACTGTTTCTTTACTTTAAAGGAAAATCCCTTTTTAACTTCTCCCAGGCTGACTGTAATCTAAGTCTTACTGATGTGGGTCGAACTGCATCTCGAGCACCGAGTGGACCTACCAGTAAGGCCAGTAGATTCTACAGCTGGAGTTCTTTGGTCTTCCAAACTGTTTACCCTCTGAAATTCCTCAGAGCTTTAGGGTTGATTCCCTGGAGATCTTTGGATGCTCTTAAGACTGTTCTCCCCTGAAAAGTCATAAGGGTTGAAGCTTTTGTACAGGAGAAGCTTGTACACATCCTCTAAATTAGCTTTCCTTACTGAGACTAACTAAAAATGGCTCCCTTACCTTCCCAATTGCCCTGAACAAGGGGCGGAACTAAAACTTAATGATGATAGACAGGTGACTTGCCCTACAACTGCAACCAAAGGAAGCCACCTTTTGGCAGAATCCCTGAAACCTTGGCCTGCAACAAAGCATTTAAAACAAAGCAAATAAAGTTGGAGCTCCTGGTACAGCCGTACCAGCACACAAACGGTATTATATGTATTATATGGCAGTGTAACTGCATTATATGGCAGTGTAGCTGGGGCCCCTCGTCTTCCGCAGTTGGCTATGCCTGCTCTAGAGTGAACAAAAAACAGGAACTTACCTTGCTTCACACTGTTTGCCATGTTTTTTTCATCCTAGCCTGTAATTATACATTTTAGCTGCTGCTGTTATTTATGGCACTATTTTTACTTCTTTTTTTGTACTGTTTTTAATTTTGTTTGGGAGTCTTTTTAGTAAGCTGCCTTGACTTTGGCTTATATCATACAAAACTGGGATAGAGATGTCTACATATGTAAACAAAAGACGTACTCCTTGATTTCAGATCCATCCATCTCCACCTGTCCCTCAAACAACTCAAGGGTATATCGGATGGAGGTCGACAGTACCAGGGCTGGAGCTTGAACGTTATTATCAGATCAGAAGCAGTAAAGGTGCCTTTTACAAGGACCTCCAATGGCCAAATGAACCTACCGACTAACTTTAAGAAAAAATTCCAATGCCTTTAAGTCTTTCTTTCCTTTTCTTTGATTACCTTTCACCTAAGAACATTTTCAGCAAGTCCTAATAGGTGGAAATTGATATTTAAATGTGTTTGTGCATCATTTCAGCAGTACTGTACATTAAAGTAGATTACAGTTAAGCATGGCTGAGTCCTCTTTCATTAAAACTAGCAGTATCTAATATAAAACTACTTATTATGTTGTTTTGTTAACTAAGTGCTTCTCGTGAATTGTAAAAGATTTGGAAGCCCCAGCCAACGCTTAATAGATTCACTGTGTCCTTCCTAGATCAAGCTTCTATTCCAGGTTCACTGTTATCTTTAGGAGAGAAATGTGGATAGGGAATGTCATAAGTGGAAAGGTGAAGAGACAGATAAGATCAGAAGAAATGGAGGAAAAATGGATTACCAACATAAGTAGACATTGGGTTTTTTCCCCACAGAGTACCAGTTCCCACCATCTCTACTTTCCATAGCTTAATGCCATGGAATCCTGGGATTTGCAGTATGCTAAGTTACAGCACCAGCAGCGATGGCTACACACCTTGTAAAACTACAACTTCCATGATTCCCACAGAGTACCAGTTCCCACCATCTCTACTTTCCATAGCTCAATGCCATGGAATCCTGGGATTTGTAGTTTGGTAAGTACCAGCACCAGCAGAGATGGCTACAGACCTTGTAAAACTACAACTTCCATGATTCCCACGGAGTAGCAGTTCCCACCATCTCTACTTTCCATAGCTTAATGTCATGGAATCCTGGGATTTGTAGTTTGGTAAGTAGCAGCACCAGCAGATATGGCCACAGACCTTGTAAAACTACAACTTCCATGATTCCCACAGAGTACCAGTTCCCACCATCTCTATTTTCCATAGCGCAATGCCATGGAATCCTGGGATTTGTAGTTTGGTAAGTAACAGCACCAGCAGAGATGGCTACAGACCTTGTAAAACTACAACTTCCATGATTCCATAGCATTGAGCCATTGCAGTTAAAGTGGTGTCAATCTGCATAAATTCTACAGTGCAGATACATCCATGGAGGTTCTCCTATAAGATAACTTTATCATAGTGGCAAACTTCCTTGCAGTAGCAACAAGCCACAGAAAGCAACTAACCTCTGACAAGGGTGTTACTTGAAACCATGTAGATGTATCATGTACAACTTTGTAATTCCCTTCACTTTACATGATCTGAATTAGCAGCCCATTATCTGGTAGCAGGAGAAGACCATCGGCCAGCTTTTCCTCACTTCCTAAGACCTGAGTCACAGTGAACCACTTCCCTGTCTCTGCCCACAAACACTTTATTTGAAAACCTTGTTGTGCTTCGCTCAAAAACAACTGACCTTCTCTACATACTTTCCAAATAACAAGGAAATGATTCAGAGTTTTTGGAAAGATTCCTCAATGAATGAGAATGCATACAGAACACATCCTTCCCCAGAGCTCAACATTAGTCAAGGAACATGTTGATAGCCAGTCTTTATCTGGTATTTATTGGTTGGGTAGCAAAACCCCAGAAGGACACGCAAGTTCCTGAGGTTAATCATTGATTGAAAAATCTTTGTGGAAGCATTCATGAGGTTGAGGGAAATCAGGTTTATGGTTCAGTTTTGATAACCAATGATAGGTAAAGGTAAAGGTTTTCCCCTGACATTAAGTCCAATCGTGTCCATCTCTGGGGGTTACTGCTCATCTCCATTTATAAGCCAAAGAGCCGGCATTGTCCATAGACACCTCCAAGGTCATGTGGCCGGCATGACTGCATGGAGCGCTTTATTTATCTTTATTTTGTATCAAAGGCATTGCATAAATTAGTATAAAACTGATAAAAAAAATAGAAGGTGCACAGGCGGCTAAATATCTTTCGACCAAAAACGGACAACAGCAACAGCATTGTCTGTAGCCTCCAACAATTCCTCCTCTGTACATGAGGCAGAGCACAGTGGGCAAGCATACAGATGTGGGGTTGTCCTGCTCCACAGTCACACAAGGTTTGGGATTCTTTTGGGTAGTGCCATTTTGCCAGGTTGTCTTTTGATCTACCCACTCCACTTCTGAGTCTATTCAGGGACTTCCAAGTTGCCCATTCTTGGTTTGCCCCTGGAGGAAGACCTTAGCGGGGGGGCATTCAGTTGGGATTTCCTGGTTTAGCTGGAAATTTAGCTGTTACCTTCCTGGAGAAGCTGTACCTATTTATCTACTGAAATTTACATGTTTTCAAACTGCTAGGTTGGCAGAAACTGGGGCTACCAGTGGGAGCTCTCCGGATTCAAATCTGCAACCTTTCAGTAAGCAAGTTCAGCAGCTTAGTGGTTTAACCCACTGTGCCACCGAGGGCATAACATAATAATAACTGGATCCATTTCCCTTCCCTTTAGTAAGAAGAAGCTGCAGCAGTCAAGCATGGAAGGGTGTTGGAATAGCACCCTGTGCCCCAACTAAAAAGGGGCTTAAGTACATATAAACTGCCCTTGTTCACTTACAGTATGACAATTTTGAACTGTTAAATCAGGGGTCCTCAAACGAAGGTTAAACTGCTAGGGTGCAACGGGTTAAACTGCTAAGGTGCAGAACTTGCTGTCACTAACCAGTTGTAGTCGGCTTCTTCTTTCTTTCTTTCCTTCTTTCCTAAAAACAACTTTCAGATGCAATTACAAATTAGTCATGAAAAGGACTGGCTAGCGATTTGCAGACAGGAAACATTGGGGAATTAAATCATTCCACACTGTATGAAACCTGGCATTTCATCTATGAAAATTAACCTCTTTATTGGAATCCAACTGGGTACATAAATGTCACCAGTGCTTTAAAATGCCACACAGTTGCCAAGGTCGTGACAGGGCAAGTAAATCTGCTGTACACCTTAGGCACAAACACCGAGACAAACTCCCATGTGTGAGGCCTTTTCGTGGATCACATTTAGAGCTTACAGAAAAGATCACTGTTTTAGTTTTGTGGGCATATGTTTATATTGTTTGTTTGTTTGTAATGTTTTGTATATATCAAGTCAACATTCCCTGAAGTCTGCAATAAAATGTAATTTTACATACAAATAATAAACAATATGGAGCCTCTGGGTGTGCAGTGGATCAAAGCGCTGAGCTGCTGAACTTACTGACCGAAAGATCGCATGTTCAAATTTGGGGAGCAGTGTGAGTTCCTGCTCTACGCCCCAGCTCCTGCCAACCTAGCAGTTCGAAAACATGCAAATGTGAGTAGATCAACAGGTACCGCTCTGGTGGAAAGGTAACAGTGTTCCATGAAGTCATGCTGGCCACATGACCTTGGAGGTGTCTATGGACAACGGCAGCTTTTCAGCTTAGAAATGGAGATGAGCATCAACCCCGAGAGTCGGACACGACTGGAAAAACTTTTACTTTAGAGATACCTGCTGCCAGAAATTCAGCTGGATAGATTCCTGGGAGCTCTGCATAGATAAAGGGGCCGTGGTGGTGCAGCGGGTTAAACTGCTAAGGTGCAGAACTTGCTGATCGGAAGGTTGGCAGTTTGAATCGGCAGAAGGGGTGAGCTCCCGTTATTAGCCCCAGCTTCTGCCAATCTAGCAGTTCAAAAACATGCAAATGTGAGTATTTATTTCTTATTTCTTATTTATTTCAAACATTTGTACCCTGCCCTTCTCAACCCCCAAAGGGGGACTCAGAACAGGTTACAGCCGGCAACAATTCGATGTCCCCACATACAAGACACAGTAAAACACTTTTGCTGTAATGCTATCATGATTTTATTAGCTTTCACTTGCTCCAATCTTCTGGAGACATTATATACTCAATAATTTAAAAAAAACACGATAATTACATAATAAGTAAAAATATTAGGTTAAAAATCCATTTAAAATAGCATTAACTAAATAGCCATATCTAAATCTGATTCAGTCACCAATGACCCAGTCCAAAACTTGTCCATAGTCCATTCTCGAAGGCATTGTGATTATTGTCAGCCTGATACCTGAATGCCTGGTTCCATAACCATGTTTTCAGCTTCTTCCTGAAGGAAAGGAGGGATGTAGTTGACCTAATTTCACTGGGGAGCGTGTTCCACAGGCAGGGGGCCACCACCAAGAAGGCCCTGTCTCTCATCCCTGCCAAGCGCATTTACAACGGGGGTGGGATTGAGAGCAGGGCCTTCCTGGATGATCTTAGACTCCAAGGGAGATACGTTTGGACAAGTAAGCAGGGCTGGAACTGTATAGGGCTTTATAGGTCAAGATCAGCACTTTGAATTGTGCTCTGAACTGAACCAGCAGCCAGTGGTATGCTCCCTGTATGGTGCTCCAGTGAGTAATCTGGCTGCCGCCCATTAGATTAATTGAAGTTTCTGAACAGTTGTCAAAGGCAACCCCATGTAGAGTGCTGAGTAGATCAATAGGGACCACTCCAGTGGGAAGGTAATGGCGGTCCATGCAGTCATGCCAGCCACATTACCTAGGAAGCATCTATGCACAACACTGGCACTTCTGCTTAGAAATTGAGATGAACACCACCCCCCAGAGCCAGACACGACTGGACTTAATGTCGAGGGGAAACCTTTACTTTTTACTGCATAGATATCCACCACATAGGATGCATTAGATCATAGAATTTGGTCATTATTGCAAAAAAAATGATAGGCTTAAAGCCAATCTCAAAAACGGTGGCATAGACACCAAGAATTGGGAAGCCCTGGCCCTTGAGCACTCTAACTGGAGGTCAGCAGTGACCAGGCATGTAGCCGGGGGGGGGGGGGGGAAAATTCGCATGGTGGTTCGCGAAAAGGCCTTACTGGTGCATTATTTAAACTGTTATGTTTATTCATATCATGATCTGATCACCATACTCAATATATCCCATATGCATGGGGGTATTGGGGTAATGATACAAAAGGTTTGCTAGGGTAGACCGTCTTTCACTCAGACTCAGCCCCCCACCCCCCGAACTCAGCCCCCCCCCCCGAAACCCCCCTGAAAATAACCCCCCCCCCCCCCCCCGAATCAAAATCCTGCCTACGGGCCTGGCAGTGACCAGCAGTGCTGCGGAATTTGAAGAGGCACGAATGGAGGGCGAAAGAGAGAAACGTGCCAAGAGGAAGGCGCATCAACC